GGGGCTCGATCCCAGGACCCTGGGATCATGACCTGAGCCGAAGGCAGACGCTTAATGACTGAGCCACCCAGGAGCCCCTTTCTTTTCTTTTTTCTTTTGTGTTATTTTGTTTTGAATTTCTAGTTCTCAGCTAAATTTTTCAATCTTGTCTTTATCCCCCTATAACAGTCAGCAAAATTATTTTATACTTTATAACTCTAATATTTTCAGCCCAAATGGCCTGTTTCTCTTGACTATTTTTTATGTTACCTTGTTTCATTTTTTCTGGCTCTTTTTCTGTATGTGTGTTGGACATGCTGGAAATTAAGTTTAAAAACTCGTTTTTGTAAATGGTTTGAAACCTACAACACTCTTTTTTAATCTAGTAAATGTTTTACATTTGTTTTTCTCAGGTGCCAGTAGGGACTAGGAGTCTGGGTTGATCTTAATTTAATTTGAGGATTGAGATGATTCAGAGCTGGGCAGCAGTCTTTCAGAAAACTGGTTCATTCTTTTTGGTAGGATGCATATCTTTAAGGTTTCGACACAAAAAGCAGGGGGTTTACCATGGTCACTTGCCCTTTTCAGCAATGGGACTCTGAATACCTTTTGTAGAATTAGCAAATGACTTAAGATAAAAACAACTTCAAATTCTGAATTTACATCTCTGGATATCTATTTTCTCCCAGAACCTAGCCTGACAATTCTTCACTATCTTGTTAGCTCTCTGATGCCTTTAAACAGACTCTATAACTTTTTGTTTTTGTTTTTGGTGTAGTTTTTCTAGTTATCTTCAAGGAGAGTAATGGTCTAAGTTATTTAGACTTTCATTCCTGAAAGAAGTGTCTCCTTTTTCTTTCTCATTTTAAAACAACATATACTATAATTTTGAGAGATAAAAGGAAACATTTAATTAAGATATTCTGATACAAATTTTGAAGCAATTATTTCAACATTTTCATACATTTAATGAGTCTCTTATCACATACTACTTTCCAAGTGTTTCTTTCTCAGTCTTGGCTTTTTCCTTCCTTTCTATATTTATTGTTTTTGCACAGGATTTCTGTTAGTTTATTCAGGAGGGATACTTGAGTGGCATATTTTCTTAATCTATATATCCCTGAGAAAATACTACTCCTGACTTCATGCATGAGTAATAACTTCACTAAATATAGAAAATGTGTCCTTTAGAGCAATGGAAATGTTACTCCATTTCATCTAGTATTTAGAATTGTGGAAGAAGAAAGCAAGCTAAGGCTAATCTGATTTTGGTGATTTTGTTTGTAACCTGATTTTGATTGTAACCTGATTTTGATTTTCCTATATGCTTTATAAGCCTTTCTTTATCAGTGATCTTCAGAAATTCTATGAGGCTTTGTAGATTTCTGTCCCTATTTGAGTTTTCAATGCCTTTGTCTATAAATACGTGTACTCTTGTGTTTTGGGTGGAGGAATTGGTTTACATTAGGAAAACTATTTTTCTGTTATTTTTCTAAAGATTGTTTCATTTCTGTTTGTTCTAGTCTCTCTTCTTGGTATTCCCAGGATATGTAGATTTAATCACCTAGATCTATTGTCTATATGTGTCACATTTCTTTCATGGTTATCATATCTTCATTTCTGTAGTTGCAAACCCAATGCTTGTAGGGTTTAGGCAGGTAACAAAAATAAATAAAGTCAGCCTGGTACAAGAAGAGCAAGTGATGAGGATTGTGGAGAGCAAATTTCCCTTTTAAACTTGGCAGCTACCAATCACTTGATATTCATAGCTAATAAAATATTACCAGATTCCATTTTTTCCCAGAAAAACTAAAATCTGTTTTTTTAAATGTAATGTGTCTCAGCAGAAAAAATAAATGAAAAAAGACCTCACAACTTACCATTAGGATGATCTTGGTCACACACAGAATGATCTGTCACTTCATTGTCTTTTGTAATATGGTCGTCCTTTGCAGAATCTGCCACAACAAATAAGAAAAACGTCTAGTCAGCATTTTTAACTGGGAAACAGAGCAGCTTCCAGCACTGTTATGATATATCTATCTTTGGAGCATGGAATTTATTATTTTTAAAAAATACCCTTAGAATACTTAAATATTTTCATCAATAAATAAATTATTCCTAAAGTACTGCAGAAGAGGTCTTGTACAAAGTTTATCCTCCTTAGAGGATAGAAATTTGTTTGGGTCATCTTTTTGCAACAAAGAAGAAAATATAAGCAGACTTTATGCATTAGTGAAAGTCTTTGGAGAATTGTGCAAAAGGATATGAAAGGAAGGCAAAATAGAGGAGATTAAAGGAATATCAATTTTAATGTTCTTAATGCTTCCATTACTGCAATTGTTCATATATGGGAGCCTTGAGTCCTGGAAAAAGCCAGATGTAGAGCTTTGAAATCCAGTTGTAATTAAGTTCATCATCCTGAGGAACACCACAAATAGAACAATAGCAAAGGGGAATGCAAATATTCTGTTCTGTGCAATTTCATCTTCTCCCTCGTATAGCATATTTAAATGTGAAATCAGCATAAGTTCATGTTTTTTTGTTATACGATATACTTGCAGGAAATAACATAGCCAAATAGGTTTCAGTGACTATGGACTCTTATAAGACTACACAGGATTCCTTGTTGGATGTTTGAGGCCTCTCTGTAGGCTCTTTAGAAAGCCATCGGAAAAAGCATGTGGGTGGGTCAGTGTGAAGACAGAAAATGGACCTTTCATTCATTCCAAAAGCATTTATTAAGGGCCAACTCTATGCCAGACACTTATTGAGGCTGGGGAGTCAATAGTAATTGACTCTGCCCTCACAGAGGTTACAATCTAGGGGATATTTTTCTTTTCTTTTTTTTAAGATTTTATTTATGTATTTGACACAGAGAGAGAGAGATAGCAAGAGCAGGAACACAAGCAGGGGGAGTGGGAGAGGGAGAAGCAGGCTTCCAGCCGAGCAGGGAGCCCGATGTGGGACTCGATCCCAGGACTCTGGGATCGTGACCTGAGCTGAAGGCAGACGAAGGCAGAAGCTTAACCACTGAGCCACCAGGCGCCCCTAGGGGATATTTTTCATGCAGCTAAGAGAGTGGTAATCTGAAGATATCTAAAAGCCATGAGGTAATCTTGTATGCATATGGCCATGGAGCAAACTGGAGATGGCAGACTGAGACTCCTATTACTTACGAATGGGTTCTCTACTGAGTTCACGTGCCTCCATTGAGTTGTAACTCCGAACAGAACTGAATCAGACAGAGTCTCAAATCATTCTTTCTTTCTTTGTTTCCTTATTCCTTTTCCCTCTCTCCCTCCCCACATTAGGAGATCATTTTAAACAACGCAGTTTGGAATATTATGAGAAAGTTTGTTTCTTGAACATGCCACAAGCAACATTTGATGGACAAGTGAGAAACCTGGGTAGTTAACATATGATTCAAATTTAATAACCAGTGAAGCAAGTATACACCCAAAGTGTATGATTTTAATTAACTGCAAATAATTCCCCCAAGGCAAATGTTTAATTATCTGCACAGCTTCTTATTTCTTTCTGAGACTGACAATAAGTTTCAAAGTCCAAATTTGGAAGCAAAACTGAGCATAGACAGATTTTCCAAACTGTTCTCTCACTCTAGTCAAATTGTTTTAAACCGATTCCCATTAAAACATGCCTTTTTAATTTTGGCTCTAACATGTGGATTTAAAAAAAAATCCTTGAATACTTTTTTCCACATTAACACTGAAAGTGAACAATGATTTTAAAAAGGTACTATATGAATCAGGCTCAATTTTAATTTTGAAAATTTTACTTATTTATAGAAAATGGCATCATTTGAAATGTAGGCTTGGGCAATACTCATTTCTCCTAACATTAATGTTTTAAGATTATCCAAGATTTTGCATGTAGTTAAAATGTGTTCACTTACACTCAACAACAATACATTATGCTTTATAATTTACATAAACATTATGTTTCATGCATCAAATATTACATAAGAAATGTCTTTCAAGAAGCGATTTACATTGAGTTTATGGGTTTATGGTCTAATGAGTCACATAAGATGGGTGAAAGTATTTGAAAAATTAATCTCTGGACTGTCACCAAAATCTGTCTCTCTAGAAAATTAATTGACCCTTCAATTTCAATTTCCTTGGAGAGTTGTTTTAACATTGCTAAGGTGACTTCTGATCTTATGTGCTCTAATCTTTTTTTTTTTTTTTTTTTTTTTAAAGATTTTATTTATTTATTTGAGAGAGAGAGAATGAGAGACAGAGCGCATGAGAGGGAGGAGGGTCAGAGGGAGAAGCAGACTCCCCGCCGAGCCGGGAGCCCGATGCGGGACTCGATCCAGGGACTCCGGGATCATGACCTGAGCCGAAGGCAGTCGCTTAACCAACTGAGCCACCCAGGCGCCCCTGTGCTCTAATCTATACATAATATGTTTCACTGAATCTAAGACACCGTCAGTTGTTATTTTCACTATTATTTTGTGTAGGTAGGAAGAAAACATGCTACCAAAGGAACCGTAACACATTATTAATTTAAGAATGTGTCCTAATTTTAGAAAGAAAATCTACAAAAGACTATATATCCTAGAAATATAATGTTTGAGTATATGCATGTGGGCACAAGTACTTGTCTTTATGTGATGGCAAGGATTTCCTATCAACCTGACCCATCACCCACAAGTAACCCACAAGTTACTTTTGTTTTGTATTTGAAATGGTCCCACCTCCACATACAGCAACAAAGCAGGATAAAAGCTATGAGCTCATGACAGCATCCACGCATGACCATGCGGCTATGAGATTGTTTCCACTGAAGTTTCTCTTTTCAAAGGGCTCTTTGAATCCCTAGTCGCATGAATTTTGGCAAGACTGGATATGGTCCTGAATGTTTTAAACCATAGATCCTATTGTGTTAGACCTAGTTGCGGGTTTGAAATGACAGTGGAGCTTTTCTGACTAGGAGGTGATGAAAGTTGCACTGTATATGTATATAAAATCATTATTCACAGTAAGAAAGAAAACATATCGAGTATATATGGTCACTAAGAGAGCTTATTATTTCTATGTAAGTTCTATAAACTACTGTGAAAAATGGAGTTGTATATACTAAATTCTTGCAGCACCCTTGGATTTGTATTTTATTTAATTCTAAAAATTATCATTTGGTAATGTTCAAAAAACGTAAAGGAGTTATCACCTAATTCTGAGATTCGGTCAATGTTATTTTAATAGCAGAGAATTGGAATTAAATTTATATGTAGATTGTGACTTTCAAAATCTTTAAGGTCAATGTTCTATTAGAAAATTTTTTCAAATGCAAATATTAAGTAGAATGTTTGAGCCAAAGTTCTAAAGACAGATTATCTTTTAAGATTAACAAGAATAAAAAAGAAATACTTTCCTATATTAAAAAAACTTCCTCATTTAGAAAGTTGAAAAAGGTTTAAAAGAATAGTTAAAATAGATTAAAATTTTAAAAAACATAAAACAAATTCTAAAAAGCAGGGCATTTTTAATATAGATTGAAGATGTGATGGTAAGTGATGAAACTATTGCATTTTTAATAAACATCTAAACTGTAAATCGAAATAGGTGCTATCTCTTTCGAAAATGCCTCCTTACAACAAAAGTTCTTAACCCCTAAATATACTCTCAAGGTATAAATCAATATGTAAAAGGTGTACATATATTGTCATGTTCACTTTTCTAGGAGGTAGCTTCCGTCATATTTTCACAGGGACCCATGACCCTGACAAGATTAAAGATAACTAGAGAAATTTTTATCTTAATGCCAGTGACACTGCCATTTTACAAAAGGTTTTTAGGATTGTAATTGAGAATCAGCTACAGAATTTGATGCCCACTCCATGAACTTATCAATGACAGCACTTCTTGAATTCTTAAGGTAGATTTGACTTGAAGGAAGAGCCAAAAACATATACAGATGTGTTTAATAAATGAAGAGGACAATCCAGCTGGTAAACAACATTTTGCACCAAAATTTGAAATGACTATGAAGTATAAAACTGAATGGATGATTAACTGTCTTTGAAAACATTTTCAAGTCAGGAGATGTACAGAATCCACCTAGTAAGAAAGGTAATCCCTGACTACTGTTTAGAGTTGCGGTAGGAGGTCATTTTGGTGTAAAAGTTTCAAGGAGTCTGAACAAAATAAATGTTATGCCTGAAATACTTGCTCTGTAGCGTGTAAACTGATTTGATTATACCAAGCAAAACATTTATCCTGGCCTGCTCATTTGAATCGCTGGTTTATTATGTGAAGCAATTAGAATAAAGTAGTTTTTCCTCCATCTGAACAGTGTGTTTATCCACAATAAACTAGCGTCTCCACAGCCGATTATGGTCTCATTGAAGCTTTGCAATGACTATTCCTTTATATAGGAGAAAATGTATACTGCAATACATTCCCAGAGCATTCAGATGGCAGTGATCTCAGCTATGCTCCGTCCCAGTGCAGCTGGACATACAAGGCTGGTCTATATTTACCTGAAAAGTAACCAGGTCTGTAGGACAGGACATCGCCCTGAGTATTGGGAGGCCAGACTGAGCTATGGTCATTTGTCTTCATTATGCAATCATTAACCCCCATTAAAAGGGGGCCAATCATTCCCAGAGTTATGGAATGTGAGTATTAACAGTCTCTGAGGCAGGGCTGGGAAAACTACCATCATGTACCACTAACTTTGTTTCTATTAGAAAACATATGCCAGATTCCAAACAGTAACTTGTATAAACCAGCTAATTCCTATAGTGCAGGTATTATTTTTCTGCGGGTTGTTGTTGAAAATACAAGCAAATAAGAGGATCAGTCATGATGGATGGACACTGGCTTGGGGTTGTGATTCTAGATTTACAACGACAAGCTTCATAATTCTAGGAAAACCCATTCACCTTACATGATCTCAGTTTCTACACCTAGGAATTGAAGGTGTTGAG